AAACTACATTTTGGTCTAGCTTCCCATACAAAGGCTTTAGAAAATTATAAAAACCCCAAGGCAGGAAAGCATCCCCAAATGAGTGGTCTTCCTACAGTTGTGACGTGAGAGACTGATCACCAGTTACAGGAAGTGCTTACGGCAGTTACATGTACTTCAGCCAGTTACTGAATTTAATGGGGGGATTACTTTTTCACACTGGCACATTGTAGGTTGGGTTACTTTGTTTATGAATCAGCACAAAACATTGGTGTAATTTGTTCATTCAGGCTCCCTTTATATATTTGTGGGACTGACCTGAAGCTCTGATAACAATCAAGGGTAAAGATATGCAGAATCTCAGAAAAATCAGAAAGAGGAAAAACAGATATGTTTTTGTATATAAGGTCAGTCTGTTTGCTTATTGAGCCCCGAACCCTATATTCTGACTTGCAACAGCTGCCCAGAGTATAAAGCAGAGATTTTTCACATCAGCTGCAACACAGTCTAATTGGCAATGCCAGCAATTGATTTTAGCACCTTCTGCGTGTTGTTACTGACCTAGACTATCTCCTGTACAACTCGTGCCTCAAATGCTGCAAAAACAACAATCAAGGCATCAGGAGCCTTGGAAAATTGCATTTCCTCAGTCTCCTGGTGCCTGGGTCTTCAGTGAAGCAGAGTTTTAACTAGCAAGGATAGAGAAATCAAAAGAAGAAAAAGATGCTTTTCTGGTTTGTTGTTGATTAGGGTAGGATAGAGATATTTTTCTCTGGCTCACAGAAAAAAATCAAAGGGGTTCAATTTTACTTTTTGATTTATTTTTACAGCAAGCTTTACAACTCTCTATTCAAAGGAATTGATATCTTTGACAACGCTGGGGTTTTCTTTCCCAGCCCAGGAAAATGGAAATAAAAATATGTTACATGGTCCCTGTGTATGGTTCTCTTTCTGTTGCTAGTTATCCTAGATTTCATATTACACAGAGAACAGCTTCAAGGCTTGGGCCTCCTTTCTTTCAGAGCATAATCCTGGTATTTGTGGGCAAAAGAGGTAGACAGTGGCATCTAGTGATAGGTTACCTAGTAACTGAAGCGTCTTCCATCCTAAGATTAAAAGGAAGAGCGGGACAATTAGAAAAAAGATCATCACTGAAAATATTTAGTTTGGAACACACTACTGTAAATCCACGATAAGGGACTTCTAATGAAATATACACTGCAGATGCTTATTAATGCATTTTAAAAAAACATATGGAGAGCAAGACTTTCAAGGGGGAAAAGGGATTATCTCAACTGACAGAAAGAAGTCCCTCTTTGGTTAGGTCTCCAGCCCAAATAACCCAATGAATTCAAATCCAGTTGCTCCATCGTAATTCTGTACCCTGATTTTAACAGTGTACAGGAAGAGGATATTCAGCCTGGCTGGAGCATCATGCTAAATATGGTTAAAAACTCCCCTTCATTGCCAAATACCATTATGACTACCACATTATTCACTACTGCTACTATTACTACTACTATTCTTATTTAACATTTTTGTGAAAAGAAAAAAGGAAATCTAGGATTAGAGAAGTATGCTACTGTTTTTTTTTTTAACTTATGATGCATATTTATGCCATACAGTCTTCCTCTTCGCTTCTGGGTGAACGTAATTAAAAATCCACAGTTCGTCTTTGACATCCACAAGGGAAGCATCACCGATGCCTGCCTCTCAGTTGTAGCCCAGACATTTATGGATTCATGTTCCACCTCAGAGCATCGTCTGGGCAAGGATTCCCCCTCTAATAAGCTGCTGTATGCCAAGGATATACCCAGCTATAAAAGCTGGGTAGAAAGGTCAGTATTTAAAATAGAGGGTATGTGCTGCATGGTAAGACTCTTCATCTATGCTTCCCCAAGCTTGCAGCTACTGAGTTTAGTGCCACTTCACTGTGCTCTCGGGTGGCATTCAGGGTGGCAGTTGTGTTTTCTTCCTCACTCATAAAGGTCAGTATTAAGGATCCATTTACAGATTCCGAAATAATTGCAGCATGAATCCCGATACTGTTTCCGTTCATGTTCTTGTTTTTGTGCATGTCTGTACGCATAATATGTGTAATAGATTTTATGATTTATTTAATTTATATAGCTGCCTGCTTGCCATATGATTCTGGGTGGCTAACAATCCATTAAAAATAACCATAAATAATTTTAAAAATTAAAACAACACATCACAGAGTGACTCAATCAGTCACTAAAGACAGATTCACCCAACATTCTGGCCCCCTGCTAAGGGGAAGAACCAGGTCCTTAACACCATATGAAAGACCAGCAGGCGTGTGGCCATCCAAACCTTGGATGTGTGTGGTTCCATAGGTCAGGTGCCCATGATAGAGAAGGTATGTTTCCTGGATTGCATCATCCTGTCAAATCTTGTGGTATGGTCAGAAATAATTGGAGATAGGCAGTCACATGCATAACCCAGCCCTGTGTCATAAAAATGCTTTATAGGTGATAACCAGCATCTTGACATGCAACTGGAAGCCTGCTGGGAACCAGTACAGCTTGGGAAGTAGGGATGTTACATGGGCATACCAAGGCATGCCCATAACTACCCATGCCACTGCATTCTGGACCAGCTGTAGATTCTAAGTGATCTTTAAAGGTAGTCCCATGTAGAGCTCATTACAATAGTCCAGACTGGAGGAGACCATAGCAGGAGTGACCATGAATAGGGCCTCCCAATCTAGGAGTGGTATAATTGGTGCATAAGATGGATATGTGCAAAGACCTTCCTAGCCACAGCTGCCACCAGCTCTCCAAGCAGGAGACAAGAGCCTAGGAGGATCTCTTAACACCAGCAACATCTGGGGGAGTACTAACCCATTTAGAACTAAAGATATTAAGTTCCCGGGTGGTGGTGGTGGTGGTGGTCCAGTTTTGCTAAGGTTAAGCCTAAGCCTACCTCTCCCCATCCAGATCCCTACAGCTTTCAGATACCGAGAAAGAATCTTGACAGCATCACTTGGTCAGCCCGGGATAGAGATGTATCATTCAGTATCATCAGCATACTGATATTACCTGACTCCCTGTCATCATATCTCCTCACCCAATGGCTTCATGTAGATATTAAATAGAAGTGCAGAGAGAATAAAGCAGGGGTACCTGCTTGGTGGAATCCCACCAAGCAGGGTCTTAGGTCTAGACCTCTCCCAGCCAATAGTTACTGGAGTCAACCCCAGAGGAAAGAGGAAAGCCACCATAGGGCCACATCCCTCACTCCCAACCATTGTGTTCATCCACAAGGTCCAGAAGTACATCATTATTGATGGCATCAGGAGTTACCAAGAGATCAAGCAGGGCTAGGATGGATGCACCAATCCATCCTGATCCAACGAGATGCCATCAATAAGGGCAACCAAATCAATCTCACTACTGTATCCAGGCCTGAACCCTAACTGGAATGACCCAGATGATAAAATTTACTGAAAAATAGAATAGCATCAATGTTACAGTAAAAACAATGCCAAATAGGAAAGCATAAACAAATTATTGTTGTCATTTGTCAACTCCAGTGGTCATCTTTTAGTTCCTCACATAAGTCTCTTTCTGTACATTTAACTAAATCTAGTTTTTAGCTTTATTACTGGGCTTCCTCCTATCCAACTACAGAAGTACTTTACAAGTGGAATTGGTTCTTTGTTATCCCTTTATCACAAATAGTTGTCAATAAGACAACTTGTATATACAACACAACAATGTATATGTGCATGGTATTGTACATTACTAATAGGTTCTTCTGTCATTTAAATATTGTGTATTTATTATGGCATGAGTTTAGTAGGAAAACATGTATTTCACTTTAAAGTTCATCACATATCCTACAAAATCAACCTGATGTTTGTTCATTCTATCCTTTCTGTTGCAGTTTTCCTGCAGAAATAACTTGTGGGTTCAACCCAATTCATACCTGATTGCTGCTTCTTTTTTCTCTCAGATATTTGTGCTATAAGTATTCAGTTCTGTTTCTGAACCATTCTTTCCGTTACTTTGCAGGTATTATGCAGATATTGCAAAACTCCCAGCCATCAGTGACCAGGACATGAATGCCTACCTCGCAGAACAGTCACGTCTGCACTATGTTGATTTCAACATGCTGAGCGCACTCAATGAAATATACTCCTATGTCAGCAAATACAGCGAGGAGGTGAGAAACTTCTATCTTCAGAGGGTCTCAGGGAACAAATTTGTTGATTAAACACTTCACTGCATAATTGTTGTCATAAACAATCTATGAGACATTTTGAATATCTTGGCAGGAGGGCTTTAAAATTCTAAGCCCATATGTTGTCCTCATATTCCCTAATTATGGCTTTCTGGGTTCATGCTTTTTATAACCTGCAGCCTATTTCTGTGTTGAACTTTGTGGGCTTCTTGACTTTGTTTGCTTCTGGTACTCATTACAATCTAGATCAGGGCTACACAGTCTTTCCACAGCTAGAGGAAGACAGTTCGATATTTCCCCCTTTTTATTTTGATATTCTCTCTCTCTCTCTCTCTCTCTCTCTGCTTGTTTGAGCTTATATGCCACTCCAATAGTGCATAACTCTAAGCAGCTGACATTCCTCAATCCAGTAACAAGATGAAAACAATAAAACAACATAATAACAATTATATAAACGCCCAAGGAACAGCACCTAATAACAACCAGACATTCTCACAGCAGGACAGAATAAACACAGATCAAACCCCAAAGGCCCTCTGTGTGCTAAACCAACTGGAGAAATAATGCATCTATTTTTTCTTAATTTATCACCAAAAATTGCTGGAAGATTAAGCCACCATTATTTGCACTATTGAAATCTGGCAGCAAATTGCATATCTTGCTGGGTTTGGAGAACCACAAAAAAAGGATTCAAGACTACATGCAGCACACAAGTCAAGGTTTCCCCTCTCCAGTGCAGACTAACTTTGTACTAGCTTCTGCTTCCATGCTGATCCCATGAATGACTCAAACTGCTAGCTACGACTAAGAATAGTGCAGCTCTGCCAATATAGGACACAGTATCATAATAAACTTTTGAAAGTACCCTTCTTTTCAAATACAGCTGGCTAAAGCTTATAATGTCCATTTGGGAGGCAGACGGTTAGGAAAATAATTCCAATTTATTTTCAGAGCAGTTTGTAAGCATAAAATGAATGCATAACACAAAGATATAAGTATACTACAAAATATGAAGGACTAATGTTCACTACAATTAGTTTTTATTTATCACAGCCTGGGCATATTAAAGTACTTTAGTAAAAGTAAAAGTAAGAACAGATGAGGAACACTTATGTGAGTTCACAATGAACGAGGCCTTTGGTTTATTGTGGATACCAATAAGTCACAACCTAGTCTCTTATCCTAAAAATGGGTTTGTGAATCCTCTTGTTATTGTTTTTTTTTTTTAAATAAGCATCTTGCTAAATAAGCAAAAAGAGTGACTTATGTTAGGAATATAAACGTTTTTACTTATTTTTGTGTTGTGTTGTTTCGTTTCCAGTTATATCCATTATCTTGGCCATTGTCCAATATTTATTTCAAATAGAATGAAATTACTAATGGCTAGGGATGGGAAATAAATCCTAAAATGCAAACCAAATCAATTAACTAATTTAATTCACATGTTCCAGACTTTGACACAAGCCAAAATTCAATTTATTTCATTTTTTACATGTCTCCAAATTTTGCTATGTTGCTCTCTGCTCAAAATTTGTACAGTATATAAAAAAGGATGGATATCATGAAATAATGCCTATAAGAGGCATATATTAAGGGAATTTGCTTGCAATAAGTAATAAGTTTTCATCATTAAGCGATTAGGGCAGTCTTTAGATAAAGCAGAAGGTGGGGCTTTTTGAGTTGTGGTTATTGAAGATTTGCATTACTCTCTGAATGCCTACAAAAATCTGTCTGGTTGTCTGACCGTATGCAATGTTCCCAGAAACAAATTGCATGGCACAACCAAATCCTATACATTGTACAAAATATTGCTATCAATACATGCTCTCTTCTGATGGATGCATCACTTGAAACCTAAGTCCCCACCATCTGTTCAGCCCTTTAATTTGCAGTGCTAAGAAATGCCTATTTTGCAGTTACAACCATTAAAGGCAAGGCTTTTGTCTTTTAAATGCATGTATAAATACATGGTATGGCACAGCAGCCATTTGCTATGGTACAGGAAATGTAGCCTCCAGAAAATAATTGTGCTTTTTGCTGGCAGTGTGAGCCAACATGGTAAGTCAGAATAAGGAGGGGTTTATGAACGCAATTAAACTCTGTGCTTTCATTTCTTACATTTTCTCTGGAAAGTAGAGCTAAAGACTGGGTGTTGGCTATCGGTTCTATATTAATATTTAATTTCTTATATGAACATTCTAGAGACCCTTAGGTATTCTTATTCACAGATTTACCATAAGTTTTAAGAACACCATAAGGCTGACATTTCAGAGCGTCACTCTGAACACTTGTGTTCTTATCAATGTATATTATATAGACAAAGAAATTACCATGAATTTCTAAGACCATTTCTTTGTATCCATTGTTGCTTCCTTCGCCTTTTAGTCCACTTAAACCCAACGCATTCTTATTATTTTCTGTCCTTTCTAAAATGTTTGTATTGATTTTGGTTCCAGATCATTGGGGCTCTGGAGCAGGATGAGCAGGCGCGCCGGCAGCGCTTGGCATACAAAGTAGAGCAGCTCATTGGTGCCATGTCTATGGAGAGCTGAAGAAAGGAGCAGGAACTCCTAGAAAAAACATAAGGAGTGATTGCAAAGACTTTGGGGAATTAAGAAGGAAACTGGCAAGGAGGCCACCAAGAACATATCTGAACTACTGTGTGAACCTCCAGAAAGAAGCAAACATTGCCCCAGATTCTTAGCTCAAAACTCACAAAATTCCAGTTGAAAGGATGAAGGAAAACAACAGCAACTGTGCATCTCAAGTATCAGTTGGATTTATCAAGAAATTCAGCTACTCAAGCTGTAACCTTGAAGGTCCTTGGAAGCTGAGGCTTCTCCATGACTGCTGCTTTGCATGAAAGTTGTTTGATGTATATTAAGAGATAACGAAAACACTATTTAAAAATTTTTTTAAGAAAAAGAAAAGAGAAGAAAAAAGTAAAGGTAACAAAAACACAGTGGCCACATCTTGTTGAAGATTCCACTGCACATTGCCCCTCCCATCATATGAGACCTCGTTGTTCATGGCTCAGATGGATGGTTTGCAAGTAGATTCTTGTACCTTAGGGAATGTTTTAAAAAAAACTCCATTATTCCTCTGCCTGGGAACTTAAAAAATATCCCCACGAGCACAAATTTGCACCAAACCTTTTAAATAGTGCAGTTGGGAAGGAAAGCCCAGCGTTCAGTATCTGCAAGAGTCATTTAGCAGGAATGTATGTGAGTGGAAAAGCCATCTGGTCATTCAACTCATCTGTGCTGAAATCCAGCTTCAACTATGTATTTATAGAGTACTGATATTTTTTTAATACTCCTTATTTACCTACCATTGAAGGGACACTATGATTTTATGAAAGTCCTTCATTCCTCTTCTACTTTGACACAAGATCCCCCTCACTGAAATGATTCCTTCCTGTTTTTATGTATCTGACAGCTGTGTTCCTAAGGAATGTCTGGTCCTTTTGAAGCTAAGAAAGTTGTGATGGTTTAAAATGAAACTGGTGCATTATGCACTTTTGTAGGTGCAATTCATATAAAAACTGATTGGCTTTCTTAGTTGCTTAGAGTGTTGACTGATCAGTTAGCTTTTGGGTTGTTTGTTTTTCCTTGTCACTGCGTGATTTCTTGCGGTTAAAAAAAGTGTTTACAGCAAGCAGTACTTGAACAGTGTAGACCTAGTGAGGTGACATATTTATTGCTTTCCTGCTTTGAATTCACTTATGCAATCAGAACAAATGGCATTTACATTTTTCTCACACCATATGAAAGGTCATGCAGAGGTCAAGCATAAGACTTCAATGTCTCCTGGGAGAGGGAAGTGAGGGGGACCTTCTCTCTGGACAAAAGGAAATGGCACACTCTACATGCTGGCTAATTACTGTAGTCTTGTCTGTGTCCATGTGTCTTGTCTCAGATTAGGTTTTTTAATTGACCCTAGCAGTCCATTGCTAAGTGATCAGTAGATGGCTGATGATGTCTGTGAGTTGTTGTTGCTCTTTACAAAAAAAATTAAACAACAAAAAAAAAAACCAAAGTCCTTTAAAGAGTGCTAATAGCAGGTGGGCTGCTGTAAACATTTCTCTCTGTAATAAATATTGACATTTGGGCAGGCTACAGTTAAGAGGGGTGATAAGAAGAGCAAGGTGATTAGACCTAATGGAAGGCAGAATATTGGCCCCATGAGTGCAGTTCCCTTGAGTGAAGTCAGACTTTGGAGAGAACAAAATGGCTTTCTCAGTGTGTCTGGGGACAGGCATCTTGGCTTGCATTATGATTCTACCCAAATTTTGTCACATTTTCACCATTAGAAAAATTTGGTCACAGCTGTTTTGAATGGAATCAGGGGATATTATCACTTAAAATCCTAACAGTTTTGGGAAGTGGAGGTTGTCAGAAATAACAATTAGCTCTAGTACTTTATAAAGTTTGATACAGGGAAATCTCCAAAGCCCAAACTTTTGTTGCTGCTCCATGTCTGCAACACTTCATATCCATCCTATATCCGGGGCTAACTTTGCCAGGATTCAGACTGAAAAGGGCAGCTATCATTACATTCTTCATTCATGATATGCTTGCAGGAGATTCCACAACAGTTAACCTGAGGGAGGTTGAGCTGTTGACCCCATGCTCCAAAATGGCTCCCTGGACATTTACAGAGGGAAAGCCTCTGATACTATCACTCTATACACTTAGAGCAAGTCGATACAGATGGAAATCTATTTCAGAGGTGAATAGCCTGAAAATGGTTGAACATCATTGCTTTATTAGCATAGCTCAGCTTCTCATTAATTGTGTGGAGTCCTTTTGTAATGGGCTTCATATACTAGTGCTCTCTGGTTAGCCACCACATGAGGAAGGAGAAAATAGCTCCTGACAAAGTAAACCCATTTTTCCCAGTGGTGTGTAGATGTGTCTTAGAAAAATGCCACTCTGATTCCTCCCGCCCCAACCAAGCAATGGAGACATTGCTTCCACAAAAGGCTGGGGTGAGATTGATACCACATACTTCAACTGAATTGCTTACTTTGTAAGAATCTCCCATTTTTACCTTCTAATCATTATCCTGAATGCTGCCAGCAAAGGGGTAAACAAAAGGACCAACTTACTGCTTTAATTATAATTCATTAAAGCAGTGTCAAACCCCCTTTCCCTTTGATAATTTACTTCCATAGGCTTCCCTGGGCCCTATTAATAGCCTGAAAGAAATACTAATGACTAACCTTGTGCAATAAGCCAAAGCCTTTGACATTCTCAGTAGTCAAAGATTTGCAGCCAAAAAAATCTGATTTACACTGACTTGGCAAGAGCAGAGACCAGGAGCCAAATGCAGGAAATATCTTAGAAGGACAGCATATTTTCAGAAGCATTACCTCCATGTCCTTTTGCAGGTGATTGCAAAGGAAGAAATGTCTCTTTTATTCCTGAACTTCATTGGTAAAGATAGTAAGTTTAGCAGCTCGTTTTTATCAATGGAATTTCCACTTCCCCAATTACAGGCATTTCACAATGAAACCTCTTTAGGCTTTTTTCATGCATTTTATATGCATTAGTTTTTACTGCTGTGATAGATGGACTATATATATATATATATGAAGCTTCAATATTCCAAACTAAGGCTGCATCTAGATGACAGTTTTTTACGTCTTTAGTCAGAAGTGGAAAAAGAGATAATTCACATGGATTTCTCATCTAAAGGCAATGAGTTATTATAGATACCCTGATTTAGACAGTATCATCAGTGCTGGACCTGCTGGTCTATTTAAATTAATAATGAACAAGTTAGGGATTGGAAAAATCCTCATGGAGTTAGCAGGAATCAAACATGTTGATTCAAGTATACTTGCTTGCATATGTCCTCTAATAGCAACTACTGCTTTCTACAATCATAGTTTCCCATTGCAGATGGGTAACATCTATTCCTAAGGCTGGGTGAGATCTTCCAGGCAATCATACTTCATCCAATAGTTTTTGCATGCTAGCTTGATACAATTTATTCTAACACAAATTTGGAATCAAATGTGTGGCTTTCGTTTCATGGTTAATTTATATGACTATAAACAGTATAGACTGCTGCTGTATGACCTCAGTCTTCCCAGTCTGAACCATGCCCACCTGCAATGCCTTTTGCCATGCTCAAGAGTTGGTAAAGACTGGCCAGATTCACAGGCATTTACCTAAATATTGTAAGGTAAGTTAAAGTGCTCATTTCTTTGGACAACAACAAGGCTTGAGCATTTAGAACCACCATGATTGTTTTAGGTGAATTCCTTAATCTGCTATCTTCCCCTGATGTGTCATTCCCAGCCTGCTTCATTTCAGGTGTTTTTACATCAAAGCCAGAGATTATGTTCTTGGAATTACTGTCCTTACACTTCTTTTTTGAATAATTTCATTTTAGCTTTCACATGAGTGCTATCCCAAAGAGCTTAAAGTAAGGAGATAGCAATGTGCTACTCAGATGTTTCTTTCCTTCTGAAGACCTTTATCTTATAAAACTCCATTGTGTTCGCAGATCTGACTGCCTCTCCTGTATTCTTTCTTTCTCTCTTTCTCCCTCCCTCCCTCCCTCCCAGTACTAAAATTCTGCAGCCACTTCATCTGCCAGAACAGCAGGTCTCCCTAACCTATATAGCTTCTCGTGCAATAGGTTCCATTAAAAGGGTAAACAGCTGAATGTGCTATAGATGCACTCAGAATAAATTAACAATGGAAATACTAAAATAAGTTAGAAATTAAACTGTTTTCCTTTCCTTATAGATGAAATCTTAAAAGTAGTTACAAATTCTCCATCTTATTTAGGATAGTGGTAATCTCAGCCTTATTTAGGAAAAATGTAGTGATGAAGACTGCATCTCTGTCACTATGGAATGCCTTTTGATTTCCTATCAGAAAAATCTAAGATAACTTCTAGGTATTTTTATCAAAGTATCCTCCCATTTCATGATGCTAGTACTGTTTAAGTCACAGGGTAAGAAAAGCAGCCACTGAGATACCGTGTTTCTGGTTGTAGGGATTCCAAGCCATTTTTTTTAAAAAAATATTTTCAGTAGTGGCTATTTCTCTAAAGTACTTCTAAATAGCATTTGAGTTTAAACTGAGCTCCTCTCCTGTGCTGATAATAGCTTAGATATCCCTATCTGGACTGAAACACTTTGCAAGGGCTTGCAAAATATTCAGTCTGAATTGTACATTACTACAGCCTCCCATTGGACGATTCTGCTGCTTTGCCCTCTAAACATATCATTCCAGGAAAGCAGTTGTCACTTGCTTTCCGTCCTACTCATGGAATTTCCTGGAAATATATAT